GTCTTACATAAAAGTGACCTGAATGCTTTTAGATTGCATTATGTGTTGATTTCACACAGAACTCAAAAACAAGATTATGTTGAGATTAACAAATATTATTTAATTACACACAATATTTACAACATTCAATTATAAAATTAGCTCTCAACATGGCCGGTGGCAATAGAGGTATGGTGGATCGTCCCCCCCCCCCCCCACTGATGAATTTTTTGTAATTATCAGTTGGCAATTACAGGGAGCCGTTGTCCGTTAAAAATGATACTTTTTGAAAAAAATAAAAATATTTAATATAGGAACGGGTCCCGGCAGTCGGCAGTTGAGAATTTACCGATTTAGAAATCTAAATACTGCCGACTGATATTGTCGGCTAAGGAGTATGGACCCGTATTATAACACTAATATAAAACTGATGATATAAAAAACGCTTTTACGTTATTTTCTCCTAGTTCTGATATGCATGGGTGTCACTAGATTCCACATTTTGTGGTGGAAAAATTTATTTTTAAAAAGTGAAAAAAATAATTTTTTATAGGTTTACCTAGCTAACCTCTTCTACATAAATCTCGGAATGACGTATAGAATATATGTTACCGGAAATGTTGACATTTAAGAAAAGATGACTAGTAGCGGAAGGAAATGATATCATTAGACAATGATCCCTTTTCAGTGCCTATAATAAAAAAAAAAAATAATTATAATGAATCTCTATTATGCGTTCAAATACGATGATGATTAATATGCTATAAAAATACTAAATTAATTCTAACATAGCTTGTATAAATCTTCTTTAACTTCAGTTATAACCGCTAGTACATTTCTCAGCGATCCATACATCAGGCCTACATCAGGAATGCTCAGCCGTACTGTAGTTCCAACACTAAGTTCATCATATTTTTTATTCGATGTTTCAATCATTTTTTTGAGACTGTTTTTCTAAATTTTACGCAGATGATTGACGTGCATTCAGTATATTTTGTTTCTGTTGATAAACTAAATAAAAATATTATAGTTAGTAAATTATATTTAAATATATTAAACTATAACGTTTTTTTTTACCAAGTTCAAAGTCATTAGTAATCGATTCATTTTCTTCGACTTTTTCGTCTTCATTTGACTTTAAAATACTTTCTATATCTTACTCAGATTTCAAAGAGCCGATTTCATCTATTAGTAAACCAATTGATATAATACCTAAACGAGCTGGATAACCAAACATTGCCTCATAAGGTGATCGACCTATACCTTAAAAGAAACACATAAATCCTGTACTTTTATTTTAAAAATTAATTATATATCATACCAGAGTGAAAAGCTCTGATGATTTTTTATAACAGTCGGTACAAAGACTCGAAAAAATCATTATTATTTCTTTTGTTATATTACAATACTTTAATTTTATTTCAGCCATCATACGGTCGTGGCCACTGTGACCGATAGCTATGTGCGTAGAGTGAAGAATATCGAATAGCTCTTCGTTTTTAACGTAATAACGTATACCGTCATTATCATGGTTCATAGCTTTAATTAAGCGCTCTTTATCATTTATTAAAATAACATCGTACTTACAAATATTTCTATAATCTCTCTTACATTTTTTTTTTAATCTTGGATAGTTTTACATCTTCCATACGACGATCGTATTTCTCATTATTCATGAACGATTTGTTGTCATCACGCTTATCGCCAATTAGTAATAAAATTGCTTTATTAAATTCATTTCGCATTTTATTGAGATCCATTTTTAACAAACGCACTGAATGTATAAATAACAAATACGTACTGTACTAAGAAGAACACACTACTAAAAGTGGTATACTGCATGTACAGGTTAGGGAAACTTTTAATAAAACACATAAAGATTGAGATAAATATATGCGATATGCGATAGACATTTTCCACTCGACCATTTTATCGATAGGTGACGATTACGGGTTTTAGTATGTCGCCGCTACGAGTTAGTTATCGTTCTAATAGTTATATTGTAAAGCCGGTCCCATATGACTTGCAACATCATGAGTTCCAATGCTTTCGTGTAAGAAAGTAAAGCGTGATAACATTGCCTAATAAACTACAAAAATGATTACAATTCCTAGGCAATGATATAATTTCCTTCCGCTATTAGGAATTGTCATCCTTTCCTAAAATGTCAACATTTCCGGTAACATATACACTGCCTTATCGTCCTTGACTTACCACAAAATATAATTATTTTGGATACAATCACAATAATATAGTCTATGTACATACATGAATAATAAACACCGAATATATTTTTAAAATCTATGACTTTTTTTGAGGTAGCAAAAAGATATTCTTGCTACACCACAAAAATGTTTGGGGTAGCATAGATACCCCTTAGTGACGCCTATGCTCATATGTCAAAAGTAAGCGATTTTGATGGAAATTTGTGTGAAGTTAATATATTGAGACAAAAAACAAATTATTGTAAAACACTGAATGAAATTATAAGCTAAAAGCTGTTATACCAACAGCTAATTATTTATGTAGACTTGCATTCACATCATCAGTTTCTGCTGCGTCTAACGAAAGGGTATTTAGTGTTCTTAAGTTGATAAAAAATCATGTAAGAACAACCATGACTGATAAGCGTTTGAACCAAGGCCGTAACTGTGGGAATCCAGGGGTCCGGACACCCCCCCCCCCGAAATTTTCAAAAGTAGAAAAATTTTAGCGGTGAATATAGTTTATTAACTATAAATTGTATTAAATAATAATGTTAGACCCCCCCGAAATTGTTTTCCAGTTACAGCCTTGGTTTGAACAACTTACTTATACTCAACACTTCTAAGGATATATTCGACAATATAAACATGAGTGCAATAATAAAAAATGGACAACTTTAAAAAAACGCATAATTGTATACATTTTGTTGGAAGTAGGTATTTTAAATAGGTATATATATTTTTTTTACGAGTTAATAATATGTATGATTATTTATGTTTTACTATGACTATTTAATTGTTATAAATGTTTTTTTATTTTATTAGATTTTACACTTTCAATTTATAATAAGTTAATTAATTAATAAGTAATTACACGTGTAACATGGCAGTGTAATAAACGTTTTTTATACAAAATATTAATTATTAAATTTGTTTATAACACATAATAAATAAATGTGAAATACAATATTTATATTTTATATCATATTACAGGTAATCTGGTAATTTTTTTGTTAAATACGATGTACCTACTGCCATCAGCCGTCTGCTAAATTAAAAAATTTCTTATTATTTACTTAATTTTTTGAGTTATTGACAAACACTGATTGATTTATATTCGTACACGACTTATTAATTAGATTTTAAAATAGTTTCGACAACCTTGTATCTTTAGGCTGCATCCAAGTTGCGGTCAGAGACGATTTTTTGAGATAAGGACATATAACAGTTGCGATCCCGCGAATTGTAGGTAATATCCTAGTTGCGGTCATATACCTATTACTTGTCTGTAAAGTTTGTAAATAAAATAAATAAAATTGTATAGCCCAATAGTACAATCATAGACGAAACTAGACATTTTTATTAGGTCAGGCCAAATAAAAAATGTAAAAAGTATTATTACGCAAAATTAACTATTATTTTCTATAATATAATTATAAAAACAAACGTCAAATGTCTAAATTAAACAATAATTAATAAAACCGATTATTCGAATACATATAATAGACTTATTATGTTCTACTATAATCCATATTTGTACCAATTGTACCTTAATACTATATTATATCATATTATTATATGAAAAGTTTAAACATTATTTATATAATACCTATTAATAAATATAATACAAATTATTTCATGGCGATCACCGCTCGTATAATCACTATCACAACGATATTTTTTAACCTCGCATGTTTATCTCGAACGAGCAATGGGCTACGTCGGAATTTCCAGAATTATTTTCGTAATTTTCATTATCTATATTACGAAAAATATAAATTATATTATAGTATATTATATTATGTTTAGATGCATATACATAAGTATTGTAACCTATCGTTTCGCCGCATTTTGTATGTTCATAAGTTTACTGTCGCTACAAACGTTACGTTGCTTACGTTAACTAAGGTGTGTATTATGATTAATAATATTTGTATGTACATTTAGTTTTTTTTCAATAAAAAGTATATTTATTGATTATTAATTTATTTGTATGCAAATGTAGGTATAAGTATTATTATTATAGACAGAAAATTTTTAAATCGCACAGGGTAGCAAAATACCTAAGGCCGGTCCTGCATGGATATAAAAACTAAAGTAGCTCATATATACCTTTTTTTTTTTCGTTATTGTCTAATAAATTGCCTTGTAATACGTACAAGACTGTACTAGACCACCTCAAAGGTTGTTTGTCTGACTATATCCCAAATAAAGTCTTCAGTGATTTCGAACCTACACAATAAAAATAGTGTAGACAGTCCAAAGTCTGTTTATAAAATGGAAAGGAAAATATTGAAACTTTTTTGTAAATAAAATAGCATGGCAGTGGCGTATTTAGGGAGGGGCCCATAGGGGCCCGGGCCCCCCCCCTTGGCCCGTGTAGTACATATTATAATAGTATAACACAATACTACTCAGTAATCGACACTCGTATTATACTTTAATACTTTATAATGTATGATTAAATAATGATTTGATATGAAAACCAAAATAAAAATAGTAAATTGTTAATTCGCATTATTTTGCAATACCCAGTAAAATATAAATAGCAAAAGATAAAATCGATAATGGATTATCGTATCTAGATTCTAGATTAGACTGTTTCTCTGGAACCGTTCGATACCGCACACGCGTTGCTCAGTTTCAGTTGCTGTTTAATTGCCGATAAAACACAATATAGTGTGATCCTAGTCTAATCGTGTAGTTGTGAATAACGTATTCTTTTACTTGTCAATGCATTGTTTATAAGTTATAACTTAACTATCTACTTGTGTATATATTTTAATATTTGTATAAATTGACAACCGAATTTAAAAATAATATGCAACAAAATAAAAGAACATCGAAGATAACTAATTTTTTTAACTCAACACAAAAAAAAATTAAAACAGAATCTAACGACGTCGTGGATGACGGACAGCAGCAGTCACAGTCTGACTCACAGAGACTAATTTCAACGGAAATCAAGAAGGTATTATATTATAAAATAAATAAGCAAGACTGTAGGTATATACGCTATACGTATTGTCGCAATGATACTATTGTGTAGTATTTGAGTAATATGACGTTTAGTTTTTCAAATATTAAAAATCTTAATGTCTCAGAGATTGCGCTAAAGAAATATTAGAGCTGCACATACTTTTTGTTTTACAGAAGTATAAAAAATTGATCATTATCATATTATAATCATAATATTAATTATGGAATAGCATGGACATAGCAGTTTTAACAAAAATAAAATAATACAAATTATTGTTTTTATTTTAAAAAGTTTAATAATATGACACCACTCATGTATAGAATTATAATAATTATTAAAACACAGTTTTCATCAAATATAAATTTTAAAACTTATAGAAAACCTTGTATTAAATTTTCAATTCTTAGCTATGAATACTAAAAATGTAGGTTTAATTAGTATTGTAATATGTAATACGCTTTTGTTATTATTATTTTAGAAATCAGGGCATTTGTATGATATTGCCAATTTTGTGGTCAAACACACTTTACAGTCTTCTGAAATATTTAATTGTTTGAAATTGACTTGGATACCCGACCCAAAGTATGATTTTCCTATACATGCAGAAGGCAAACATAGCAGAAAATTTCAATATAAGTATTTAGAAATATTTCCATGGTTAGCTTATAGTGAGATTAATAAAGGAGCCTATTGCAAATGGTGTGTTGTATTTGCTTTTTCAGGCGGTGGATCAGGCAACCAGGTATATTACACAGAAAAAAATAACTATTTCCCTTGATTATTTATAAATATAATAATTTTATAATTATTTCTTGTAGTCGTTAAAGAATCTAGTAAGAGAGCCGATGACCAAGTATAAGAATGCAATGGCTGATTTAAATGAACATTCTAAAACCAATTATCATATGATCTCTAGTCAAAGGGCAAAAGACTTCTTAAAAAACTATGAAAATGGAGACCAAACAGCGGTAAACGTACTTCTCAGCAATCAAAAAAGCACTGCGAAGATCTTTTTTCGAACATTAAAACACTTTTACAGTTGTTCTCCACACTACCAGTTACTTCTGCCACTCCAGAACGCACGTTTTCTACTCTTAAAAGAATAAAAACTTACCTGAGATCAACAATATCCCAAGAAAGGCTAAATGGTTTGGCTTTAACAAACATTAATAAGGAAGTAAATGTAACTATGGAGGAAATAGCACAAGATTTCATAAAAATCTCCGCCAGGAGAATGCAATTACAAGACTGGTCAAAATAATAAACATTACTTAAATTGTACATGCTTTAATATAAGTACTTCAATTGTCTTAATCTTAATTAAATATAAAATATAATATACTAAAACGTATGATTTTGGCGTTATATCTGGTGGGCCCCTCCCTTGAGAGATTTCTGGCTACGCCACTGTAGCATGGTATATACCATATATACTAGATATATATTTTGAGTGACCACAACTAGTATGTAACCTTTTTGTTGGGTGACCGCAACTAGTACGTAATTTTTGATTTTAACCGCAATTAGTATACACCGTATCTTTACATCTGTATGAAGTACAAGTAACAAATATTTTAACTATGCATAAAATGGTTTAAAATGTTTTAATTCTATATTTTGTTTTTGTTTTAACTATTTTACTTCACTTTAACACAGCAAAACCAGGAATTTTTATACTTCACGTAGTTTTTTTTTAGAAATTATGAGTCGGCATAAATTAAATTTCAATCGGCAATACTTGATCTCACACCCCCCCCCTTCCTACAAAATTGTATAACGCTGGCCTTGGCTCTCAACCATTTACGAACGGTTATTATGATCCAATATATTGGTAAATGTTTTGTTCGAAATTGTCCCTTTTTAGAGTCAATTGAACCGGTCCGTGAATAGGGCAGACGCTTTAGACAATTTTAGAGATTCCTATCTCTCCCTACATGCCATCACGGTCCGCGTACGTATCGACGGCAGTGGTCAAACGTTCTGTTGAACTTTAACTTTAGCGGTGGATCCGTGATGTATTTTTGGTGCGTGGTACAAGACGTCCGGTTTCAATTGCCAGAAGAAACAGAATGTTTTTATACGTCCGTCGTTGGACCTGTTCATGGCACCACTGCCTTCGGCGACTTCGTTAACCACAATCACCGGTGATCTTGTTCATAGCCATTGTGTGACCCTCGGTAATCCGTTAATGTTATCGTCGATTCAATCAACTTTTCTATGCAACAATATCCGAACAATCGCTAGCAACAGCTGATCGTCCCCGACTCTGGTATTATCATTTGTTATCAGGACTGGGATTTGTACATTTATACATTCTTTTACATATCTACTACATTAATTTCGATTGTAATTCAATGAATAAAAATTGTGGCGTCCCGCGTATTTAGATAACAATAGTACTATAAACACACTGTGTGATAACTAATAATAGTGTGGAACAATCACCACCATACATGGAAACAAATAAATGATTAAAAGGAGAACATCACATACTCGTCATTCTAATAAGGAAATATTAACCAACAGCTTATTTAATTATTGTACTTAGAATAGTTTTGGACAGTATCAATAAATCACTTAACCATAACTAGTATTAATTATTAACAACATCCACCTACATGCTAGTATTGAACAGACTGAGCGAATAACTGAGATTCGATCGATCAGTTGGCACGCAACAAAATAAACAATTATTTCAAAAAGCTCCAAGTAGAATTAAAATATCCAAAGTAACTATCAAAATATCTCGCTTCTTCCAAAGCTAATAAAATCAAGGAGAGGGGATATGATTACAAACCGTAAATTATTATTCAAAATATTATGATGAATTAAGAATATGGTATCTATGTTGGATTCTGAACATGCAGCATCAATTACCAAGGGAAAACAAATTTTTCAGAGAGCTAATAATAAAGTCTGCTCCATTATATAATGTATCTAATTTTAGTTTTTTAGGGCAAATCAATATCTAAGTTAAAAAAACACCAAAATTCCGTTTAAGTGGATTACACACTTGGCGATTCGAACGCACGTCTCCATGCGTTTCAAACGTCGCGATTTTAAGACGCAAACGCGTACTCCTTACACATTAGACGTGTGTCGATGCGTTTTTCTACGTTTTCCTAAGGCCTACACGCGGGAAACATGTAAATACGCCTCTGAGAATATCTAAGTTAGTTAGATTCTAAATTCAAATAATTAAATTTGTTAATGAAAATAACTTACCTATATTCCATATAGATTCCTCCTTCGATACCTCATTAATAAATGATTCATTATCAAACATATTTGAAAATTTTCAAATACGTAGGTACAAACAAATATGCAGTGGCGGCACGTGCGTAGGTGCGCAGGTGCAAGCGCACCACATGCCATTTTATCAAAATAGTATTTTTTATTTTTTAAAACTTAACGTTGTAAATTGTTTTTTTTTTAAATATCGGGTGTGCTATTAAAAAAAAAAAAAAATTATTCAACTATGTTTTTCGGTAAAGAACTATTATATCGTGAACATATTATTGCTCCTAAAGTAAAACAGTTATGCAAAATGCACACATCAATCACTGACAGCACCGCATGCCTGTATAAAATACGTATGGTTAACGAGTGTGAGGGGGTCGCTAAATACAAGGCAACTCGGTGCGCAGTTACTACTGCGAACCGATTTAAAAAAAAACGTTATCTACGACTAATTTTGAGGGTTTTCCATTTGTAATCTGATTTCTGTACCAAATGGTCGATATTATTTCATAATATAATAATAGTATATATAAGATAAAATAAAAGATACATTATTTTAAACCAGTAAAAACATGTTACATCATAGTAAATGCTTTTTAGTTATTACTTTGTGCACCACCTATTTTTAACACTACGAGTCGCCACTGCAAATATGTAAATGCTAAATTCTTAAGTATTAAACTTAAGTAACAACAACTAACTACCTGGGTAACAAGTAACAACTTAGAATAAGGAACTTCGTAAACTATAAGTATACGAATACGACAACTGTTGTAGACAAATTATGAATGAACGTAAATAAACGAGGGGCAATCGCAGCGTTTAAATGATCCGTGTGTATTGAAACGCCGGAAATGCATTGGAAATACATTGGGAAAATAATGTTTAATTATAGTTGCAAATTGCGACCGAACGCACAAAATTAAACACGAGCGTTTCGGTGCGTCCGAACGCAACCGAATGCGCGTCTAATTTACGTGTGTGAGTAAACCCATGTATAAGTACATATTTAATTTTGAGCGATTAATCACGACGTTCGAAACGCACAGAGACGTGCGTTCGAATCGCCTAGTGTGTAATCCACTTAAGTGAAAACTTAAAAAATTATTGATTTATCAATTTCAAAAATTAATGAATCAGAGGGTCCAGCTGGACTATTAAAGAATAAATGAATGCTGTTATAAATAAAAATTGAGAACTGAAATCCATTAAATATTTAGGAAACATTCTTTGTGGTATTGCAAATGAAGACACGATCGAGCTAAATTTTTCGTCTAGTGAAATAAGAGCAATAAAATATGCACCAATAACATCTTGTGGTGTGGAACGCTCTTTTAGTAGGTATAAGTCAGTGTTAAGACCAAGTCCCTCTTGATATTAATTGTAACGAATGAGAATCAGTGGACAATGGTATTGGATTACCAATCAATTAATTTAGTTTGAATTCATTTTTTCTTAAGTTTGAACATATCTTACTATTTATATATTTATTAGTTTATTCGACACATGAACAAAAACATGAATATATTTAAGAAAAGAAGTAGTAAAATAAAAACAAATTAGGTACCTAAATGTGAAATAATTATAATTAATACAATAATTAATTTTCATAATATATTATATTTTAACATAAAATAATGCTGACAGTAAAATTTACTTGTAGGAAAACCATTTAAAAATATTTGTGTTAGCAAAAGATAAACTAACCCAAAATATTATGTACCAATTATCATATAGTTAAATTAAAATTATGCAATTTTATATTTAAAAAAAAATAAAAACAATTATTAAAAATTAATACGAGGAGCTTGATAAATCAGCAGGTGGATAGTAAATAAAAACATAAAATTAATATCAATTTTTCTTTGGAATCCCCATGAATTGAATTATAATAATTAATGAATATTTTTGAAGATAAAATATAATGTACATGAAATTAATAAACACAATTTTTTACAGTCAAACAATGGATATTTATTATAATCATTTCTTACTCTCATTATTTATATTAATTGTAATACAATATTGTTTTAATTTTTCTTATAAAAGAGTATCAAACAGTACATTTTATTATACATTTACAAAATTCACACTATTTTATACTCATAAAAAGACCCTAAATATTTATAACTAATTATACCTGAAACATAAATAAAATTAATTTACATCAACTAAAAATTCAATAATAATTCATATTAGTTTTTAAGATTTTTTTTTACTATGTTTACTAACCAATATAGTTTAACATCTATGGCATTTATATTACATCAAATTAATATAAATACAACAGAAGTTGTATGCATAATTGCATAATTTTGTGCTTATCTGTACCAAAACAATGTAGAGAATATACTAAGGAGAATTTAATAATTATAATGTAAAATCAACAAAAAATTCATCATTTTTAAAAACTGACTAAATTATAAATTTATAAAATAAAATATCAGGTATATTGTTAGAAATAATTGAAAAAGTAACGAATAAACATTAGTATTTAATTTATTTTTTAATTCAATTAATTTTTTTACTTTCACTATTTATTTAAATAATGTTCAGCAATAATTTCATAAAATTAGTTGATTAAATGAAAAAAAAAAGGTATAAAGAACTATCAGAAACACTTGTAACACAAATATAAATTTAAAAAAAAAACTAAACAAGTATATTAATGTAAACCAAATGGATTTTAAATTAAATAAAGTAATCTAAAAATATACAAGAACTGACTTAATCTGAGTTTGTAAATTATAAATGAAATAATTTCAGGAACGTAACGTTTGTATAATTTGGTACAGAAAACTAGTATACATATTTTTATATATTATAAATAATTGAAATAAGTCTCAACATTTTTTTGTTATGTTCCAATGTATGATATAAAATGCTTAAGATCCTAAAATTATATTAATGTCAATCATTAAATCAGTTTTATTATTAATTCTATATTATTCACTTAAATGTATACATTCATTTTTAATCATAACACTAAATACAACTATAATTGATATCCGTGTAATAAAATAATAAATTCAAAATTTCTATAACCATAATAAATAACCTGAATTTAGTCTCAATTATACATTTATTTAATGACCTAGTACTCAAAAGTATTGAGAAAATATAGGAATTATGTCCCTGAATATACCATGTTATTATTTAGGAAAAATTTCTACATTCTAAAATTAAAAATAACTAAAATAATTAAAAAAAAAAAAAAAACATTCTTATACTTTAAGTTAGTGTATAAATGGTGACTAAATAATTTCAAATAATCAGTTTGTATTTATTGAGTTTGAGTGAATTGTGTTTGACTGATAGGTGAATGATGGCAAGTATTTCTCCAGTCTACAGTATGATCGGTTGTTTTATAAAACTTGGTAGACATCTTATTGTAGATTGGCAACAACTCATTAGCCTCAGTTGATAAAGCCTAAAAATGATTACATTTTAAAATTCATACACAAATGTATTCAACAGGTAGTAATATCCATAAAAATTTTATTTCTAAGGATAGAACAATAAATAATAAATAGATAGTTAATGTATATTAGGATTCCAAAAATTAGAATGAATAAAAGAGTTTTATTAATTTATCCTAATTTTTTTTTTTATTAGGTAAATTTTGTGTTACATAATTCCTAATATAAATTGTGAGTATTACATAAAATTTTACCTTAAAAAAAAAAAAAAAAGAATCTACTGAATATTTTAATAAATTGAATGCACTCAAGAAATACATTTTTAAAAATATAATCATTCATATTAATATTTCCAGAGTAATTTATTGGAAAAAATTCAGTATTACTGAACATTATGATTAAATGGAACTTTTATTTATACTCTTATTAAAATTTAGCTTTCATCAATACAATATTTCTTACTTTCAAGTAAATAATGGCATCAGTTCCAAATCCATCACAAGATAACAACACTAAATCACCATGTAAGTATCTGGCGTAAAGTCTAGATATAGGCAGTCCATAACCATAACCTAAAATGTCAACAACACTGTAAAAATCTACATTCATTTCAATATTAAATAGTAACTAATAAAAAATACTTTCCTGCTAATGGCACTGTATGTGCATCTGACTTTGAAGGCTGTGGTGCAGTAGAATACATGTAATGAAACATTCGTTCACTCAAACTTCTAGGAATACCACCACCTTGGTCAGAAACCTAAACAGCATGAAATGTATGATTTTCTAGTTGAATATATATATACATAGAAGACAATTGTATATATTAGTTAGTAGCAAATTTTAATGTTGTTTTATTTTATTGTATAATCAATCAAATACCATTATAATATAGAATAATTCAGTGTTTTAGCATTAATCCATAAAATTTGACTAAAATTATTTATTATACTATAATAGATCTAATAAATTTAGTATATTAATCAATGTCAGTCAAAAATACCAAAACTATTGAAAACTAAAAATTAAGATATACTGAGTGGATTACGTAGCTTAGTTTAAAAATAATTATTTTAATCAAACACTTTTATATTTATGTCAATACATAATTATTTAAATTGAAATTATACTAAAGAATGACTGAAGAATGTTTTATTATTTTCACAAATAATTGCATATTTTTATAAATGTATATATACTTTATATATTATATGTATATATATACATAATAAAATAATGATACATCTAAATGTATGAGTTAATATTTCTTCAACTAGTGATAGTTAAAAAATTAAAAAATGAGTAATATTTCAATAAAATATTTGCATGAAACTATTTATGATAAATTATGAAAATAATTATATTTAATATGATTTCAAACTTAGAAATATTTGAATTAATTTTGTATATTTACAGCCAAAAAAATGTCTAATAACTTTAATAAACTGTGTATTATATTTAAATAAATAAGTACATAATATTTTATTACCAACAATATTAAATCACTTTAATGTTTAAGAAGAATATTCTAAATTAGTAAACTTACTTTAACACAGACATCTTCTTTTCCTTTTACGATTGTCACAAGTAATGGTGGCAATTCATCAGTCTTATGGTGCTCAACAATAGCTCTCATTGAGTTTTTAAATAATTCAAAAAGCATATGATACAAATGTGATGGTACATAAATTATTTTTATTGGCTCATTATCACCATCTATAAAATAAATAAAATTTAATAATATTTTCAACTATTAATATTCTATAGTGTTGTACTAACCAATACTTTTACAGATTTGTAATTCAGGTGAGGTCAAATAATATTGATCACACAAAAATCTAGCATTCTCATATGCATCTTTAACAACACTTATCACATCGCAATATGGATCAATACATCCAATATGTTGATGATGGTTACGATTGATATGATCACTAAATAATAATGCTTTAAAATAAATTAATAAATTGTTAAAATCCATTAACTGTTTAAAAAAATAGATTTAAAAACTTACTATGTTGATTGATAAGCATACGAATACCAATGCGAGACATATAAAAACGGTCTAAAAAATATTGAATGCTATTTTCAGTATGTAAATCGATTTCATGTGAATCTTTCAGCTCCATTACTCCTTGAGCCATTGTTTGAACTACATCAGAATGCCGATTACGAATTTTTACCAATATTTCACAAAATCTAAATTATTTGTAAAACAAAGGTTCAATTAAAATACTTTTAGTATTTATAGTTTGAAAGAAAATATAGTCTCCATAGACTTAACTAATATACAATAGGTAATTATTTGTTAAGATAAATTATGAAAATATTATGACAATAATATAATATATTATTTATTTTATTTATTATTTATTACTCATATTATGAGTATTCTAAGTATTATTTTACTTTGAAAATAAAATTTAAATTTATTACTTATAGACTTATACTTAGTTTTATTAGAATTATATATTTTAAATATGTACAAAAAATTATAAATGTAATAATCTCAAAAATCAATGATTTATGGAAAATTGTTATTAAATATAATAACACATAGTATTATAAATAAATATATATACTAAGATAAAATAAATATCATTAACATTTACTGAGCAACAATTAAAATATTTAAATTATTTAAATCAATTTAATTAATTTAGATATTCTTTTGAGACAAATAAATTGATTTTATTAATTATTAAATAAATTTGATTCTGTTCTTACAAACCACTTTTATAGTTAAGGTTGCATGATATTCAATATGCTATAAATATACTCGTAAAACTATATTACACATTTATTTATATTTTAAATTTATTTTTTATTGAATTTTATTTTTATTTATTAAACCAATAAAAACTAAATAAATAAAAGTATTTATTTGTAATTTATATTGATATAGAATTTTTTTTTAAGTTTTGTTTACACTTACTTGGTTAACGTTTCTTCAGTGCATCCATCATCAACTTCAAATTCAATCATTTCGTTAAAAGATTGTGTGTACCAATTATTCACTAAATTGACAGAAGGCATTTTCAATAAATTATCCGGTAACAAATGAATTTCTTTCATGATATTTGCTAATCTAACTGGAAGTTCTTTCTTTAAAAACTGATATGATTTTTGTTCACTAGCCTTTAAACCTATAATACATAATAGAAATTAACAACTTAAAAAAAATTTTTATCTACATTGTGTGTAATAATATATATTAAATTAACTTATATTAAGAAATATATGATAATAAGAATTTTTTTTTTCTCATGTAAGGTTAAAATATTTCTAATATTATTTTACCAATTTCTAATGTTTTTAAAATAAATCATTTTTTAAAGAGCTTTTAAATATAGGATCATTAACTACTCCTGCATGTTGTATTATATGGTAAGGATCAGTTGGATATAACTCATATTGGACAGGGTCGGATTTATGGGAAAGCCAACGTAACAATTTCCCTCCACTTGGGACTTTTTTTATCACAGATTATTTAATATTTTTTTTATATAAGTAGAGTATACATTATATATAGAACTTATATTATTAAATTATGACAGTATAATTGATCATTGTAATATTTATTGATTATTTGTGTTATCACTGAATTGTTTCAAGATAGATAAATATATTTGTTAAACATGTAACACATATAAAAAATGATATCTTACTATTATTACAATTATTTATTTTACTTTAATTGCTTTTTGTCAATACTTTGAATATAATTAAGCTATCAGTTGTAATATAAAATATATTTTATAAAATAATACCTATGATTTATTTTTACAACTTTGTAACTTAAATTATATCTATTAGCTAATATTTGTTTGACTATGTTTTCATCAATTCTGGAAAATGGTATTAATGGGATTAAAACTCTTTGAATTATCATTAAGATTCTAATATTTCTCCTTTCCTTAATGAGTTTCAGGCACCTACTACTGGTTATATAATGCATTTGTACTGTTTTTAACTAAAACACAATCTAGATAATTGGATAGGTTTCAAATCTTTGTTATTAGAATTGATAATATCTAAGTTATTAAGAATAAATTAATTGTATTTACATACTTAATAGTTTTTAATGACTCATTAAATGATAACAAAATCAAAATATTTTAACTATAGTTATTAAAATAAAATAAAAATTTATCTAGAAAGCAAATGATTAGAACCTATTTATATATAACTTAAAATTTATTTATTTATTTCTAGTTATTTGTTAGTGGAAATAATTTGATAGCAATACACGTAATACTTTATTACTCTACTCAATGATAAAATAAAAATTACATTCAAGTTTAAAAACATCTATTTAACACTATTAAAATTTTTTTTTTTTATTTAGCAAATATGCAATAACTCTTTAACAGTAATATAATGTTGTATTCCAGTATTAACTTTTTAGGTCAATAGAAAAGTAATTACCATTAACCTTCAGGTAATCGCTATTACTTAATCAGCTGTATATCTTGTACAATACTATAATAATAAAATCATCCTTGATAACATAAAAAACAAGTTTAAAATTAAGGGGAAATACATACTTGTACTGTAAAATTTTAATTTGTATCAGATTAAAAAGGAAAAGTTGAAAACAATTACATTCACACACATACAGTCACAGGCAAATATATATTATGTACATAATAAATAATTATATTATTTCTAGTACAAAATATATAATCCTTCAACATTAAGATAAAAAAAAAAACTAAACAATTCTTGATAATTTGATTATCTGATGGTGAATTACTTACTTGGAACATGTGCAAGTCAATTACAGATTGAAAAAATAGTTAAGCATGATTAAGATATTGCTTGATTTAACAAATAAGTAATATTTTACCACAAATATAACCAATAGTGGTGGGATACAGTTGACAAATTATTTCGTTTTAGAAAATCCGTTAAAATAACACTTAAATAAAGAAAAACCAAGTTGCCATGTAAGATTACGTAGGCGCGTCACACTCACCGAAATCGATGAACTGTTTGATGGACAGTGACGACGGGTTGAACTGCGAATAGTAGTCCACCATTTTCTCCAGGCTCTTGGCCAGTCTATAGCTGATGATTCTCATTTTTCGAGCTGGAGTTTCGATTGTCTTTTCCGGTCGGTCAATATTATTATCCGTTCGATTAACGAGTGTACGTGAGAGGAACAGTTACGACTACAGGTATAGCAGCTAATTAAATCAATTATTGCATCTCGATAATTTGATTATTGATAACAGTCGCAGCGATTATTATTATTATTTATTAAAGTGTACACACACACGCGCGTCCCGCTCGCTCGTGTACAATGAAAGTGCACACATAACGTTACACTTTACACTCGCACTCGAGGACGGCCGGGGGTGAGTAGGGAGGAGGAGATGGGGTTGGAGTGGATACTGAGGTGATAAGTGGAACGGGAACGAACGCGTATAGGATGGCCCCGGAACAGTCGCGGGACGACGGTGAAATAATAATAATAATAATAATAGTAATAGCAATTCGTCGTCCGTGGCGCCATCTCTCGAAAAACTACAAAGGCAGTTTATGTCCGTCATCGACGTACGAAAAAACATTTTCCTACGCGTGTGCGGTTCGACTTCGGCTTGATTTATTCACGTCGTACGAGGATGACCCGATGTCAACGTTCAAACACTCGCGCGCACGCACGCACGCACGCTTTCCTCGTGAACCCGGCCTTGTCTCGTACCGAGGTCGTACACCCCGCGGTCTCGGGAAGTTTGAAAAAAATTAAGTGAACTTTATCAAGAAAACTAACAGAGTCGAGTATAACGCCGAACAACTAGTTTTTGTTCGTGCGTGATTGACGATATTGTTTGGATCTAACGACGGTTGATTTCGTCGGGAAAAGTGTTTGCATCCGTTCGACGAGCGGGGCGAGTAGTAACGCTGGGGTTATTTTCCTTATCATCGTCGACGGCGGTCGTCGGTCGACTATGCATTCCGTTGAAAAACCAACGACGACTAGAGCCCTATTTATGGAGAGTGATTCGTCCGTACAACGAGTTGTTACGTTGTTCGGCCTACGGCGGGTTTTTTTAACACATGCGTCGTTAAATATAAATATTCTCCGATCATATTAATCGTTATTTTTCGTAACCGATCAACGAGAACTCCGCGGCGGTTCGATAAAATGGCGGTGTTCAACAGTGTTCGCGTACGAAACGGATGCAATTCGGACGGGGGTCCGTCGGATAATGATGCAATACCGATATTCAGTACGTCGCGACTGGTTCTCGGAACGTTTATCTTTCCGAAAACGTACGTGCTCCTCGGACGTCATCGTTGCGAGTGACGGCTACGATCGCTGACGCGACGCGCACTATAACAGTAGTTATGTTTCAAACGGATGCAAAGAGCACCGACGAGTGGAAAAACATTCGATAACAGCGTGAGAGAAACGACCTCATTCGTCCGTCTGTAATACAACCGATGCACTGTTCGGCCGACCCACATCGCGTTGGCGTAGACGCCGAGTAAACGGGAAAACGCCATGTAGGCATAAAAGTTCGACGCTTATTCGGCGAAACAATACACAGGACAGTAGCAAGGTTAGGTTAAGGGTTAGGGGCTACGCCCCGGGAGGGCGCAATAATAAAAAAATTGCAATTTAATTGTTACTTATAAGTAAAAGCAATATTACGTGTTTATAACTTAGGTATATAAGTTATAAATATTATTATGTTATACCTATTAAACCTATATTTTAATAAATTATTGATTTAAATAAAATTAACTAACGTTTAAGAAAAATCATTATTTATACTACATTTATATAAAAATATTGAGTTTTTTTGTGAATTTTTTTTTATAAATTAAAATACTTAAGGGCGTATTTTAAAGTTTCGCCCCGGTCGCAATGTTTGGTCGCTACAGCCCTGACGATACGTTATCACGGCTTGGTCGACACGAGCCAAATCGTCGTCGTCCCTCTTCCGCGACCCATGACGGGTAAGCGTTTCGGCGAGAACGGACGAGAAAAAAATGAGAATGTTGCGTCTTACGAAGCAGGTAAAGTCCGGGTGAAAAGCGTAACAAGTCGCACGAGTTGATCGTTCGCCGAGCCGCAGTGACGCTGCGAGAATGCCAACGATCAACTGTCGAATGAACGGCGCGCGCGTGCCGCACTCAAAAATAATAATAACAATAACAACCGTGTAGTGCTGTCACGCCGCCATGGCGACCAATTATTTGTTGTGTACGTACCGGATCCAATGTTCCGGCGGAAGATTCCGGATTCGGTCTGCTCCCGTTGCTGCTTACTGCTGACTGGCGGTGTCACTACGCGCACGCTCGTTCGCCGCCGTCTCGACCGTACGCCGCAGCCGCGGTGTAGAAGGAGGGACGCGTGGAGGTGGTACGGGTGTGCAGAGGGAGAAAGGAAATGAAAAAAAAAAATTACATCAACGTACCCGCTCCGATCCGAAGGACCGTCTCCGAGGACGCTGTCTCGCCCATATGGAGTATACGGCGTTCGGCGTTTGGTCGCACCGCACAAGTGGTTGCGTCCGCACGAGGTCCGCCCGTGGGCCCGGTCACCGTCACCCGTGCTATTAGAACGCGATCCCAACGACCGTCGCGAGTGGACTGTGCAATCCGGTTGCACCGAAGTCGAAGGTGTCTGAAGCGCTGCCCAACAATGTTCTCCCAGATGTTGCACTCCCGCGTTTTCGCGCTTACCGATATTATCGGTGTCGGTAGAAGTAAAATTATGTTGTTTTAAACGGACGGTTTTTTCGCGTTGACACCGAACCGATAAAAATAACGTCACGTTATCGGTGCACATGTCGGACAGTCGACCAGTAGATATCGGACGATATTTTTATCGTTCCGATTTCAATGACAAATACAAAGAGATGGTCGGTTTTCGCACATGATTTATGACATCGTCGTGCCGAAATAATGTTATCGATTTGTTCGTTATTTTGATGGTAAAGATAAACACGGATTTCGTGGTTCATTGGAGTTGGGATATTTGACTCAATTTAATGATTCAATTGACTTGACTCGGTTCATTCCAACGCCTTGATTTAGTGAGTCATCTCTTAATTCAATAAGGTCATATCAACTATACGTTTCATTTCAGATAATAATGATCAACATCAGTGAACTGCATAGTTCAATTGACATAACTCACTAGTAAAGAGCTAACAACATAATAGGATATTTGTTCACATCCGTGGGAGGGCTTAACATTCCCTATAAAATATGGCTTTCCCCAATAACGATAGTCTGTAAGTATTCCAGACCATTCTCGCATACCGAAAAATATAATAGAAATTATAAATATCATATATTAAAATATACAATTTATTTTGACGTCTAATGTTTGATTACGATCAAAGGGGCTTAAGCCCCTCCCCCCAATATCCACCTATAGCTGACAAAATTATAGTATTAAACTTATGGAACTGATAAGAACTATGAGGGAACATCACAAATATATACAATAATATGTCTATATATATATATGTGTATGTCTATTTATTCATCGAATTATTGAACTGAATCATTGAATTATGGTACACTGATTCAACTCATTTAGTTCATTTAAAAGAGTCGATTCTTTGAATCAACTCACTCACTACACATCCCTATACCATATAAACAAATATAAAATAACAAATATAGTTATTCAACATTTCAACAATTAATTATTATAATTTTTTTAAAAAATTTTCATTAATATTATTATTAAATGAGTTTTTCCTACGATATTCCAACTTTAATTGAATTGGTGGAATCTAGTGATTTGTAATATTTTGTTAAAATTTGTATAAAATTAACACATGTATCAACTTCTAACATAGGATGAACCCAATACCTCCTTGTTGAGGGTTTTATACCATATTCAAATTATATTTTTTCGAAGACACAACAATGCAAAATTTTGCACTTTTTTCATTGTTATTTATTTTAATTAATCAAAAATAATACTCATTCAAATTAGGTTATAGCATCGATTACAAATTCTATTATAATCAATGATTATACAAACTATGAACTAACATTTTACAAAACAGCGTACAAGTACAAACTGAGCACGAAAATCAGTGAATCAGAAATCGAAAATCAGGCGATATCGTTCCCCACAGCCGACGATAATATCGGTCGTAATGTGCAAGCAATATCTGATATCTTCCAATATCGACGACGATAATATCTTAGAGTGTGATTAAGTTCTTACAATACGTTTTATTTCGACACGCGAACAGATTTCGGTTCGCAATTTCGGTTGCTCGCGCCGGTAGCGATGGGAAACGTAAAACTGCTATGGGCGACATCATTTCAACGGCTCGTCTGTAGACCTTTGACATGCCCGTACGCTGTTGAAACGTGCCGTCGATAGACGCACGTACACAATACGCCGTGCCGAGAGACTTATTGGGACAGTTCATTATTTATCATTCGATATGCATAAAATAATGTATTTAAACGTTGGTGAACGATTACTTCGCTCGCGCAGTGTCATGTCTCGTCGTAAATCTACCATAATATGGATTTTTGCCCGTTCGCGAATCGTAGACATGTTGCATCGGCAACGTTTGACCTGAGAACCTTTGACACGGCACTGTACAATGTTCACGCATGTTATACATCATTGCTTTTTCTATACCATAGATTATTAACCTATTCTTGGCCATGGACCCCTTTAAAGCATAAAATATAATCACGGACCCCCCCTGCAAAAAAAAAATATATTTATAGGTAAATATAATAAATATAATTTTTATTATACGGTGACGGGTCAACAGAAGTGATAGGTTTCCGAGTTAAATTGAAATGCTCGTTAGATTGTATTGCCGTGTTATATTATTTTACGATTGCGATAGCTTTATATGGCATATAAGATTATTGTAATCTAAGTTTTATATTTAAAAACATTGTTGTCTTTCAAATGGCTTCCGAGTGTTTTAACAATTATAATTATCTTAAAAATTCTATCGAACAAAATTTATTTTTGGCTTATTTCAAAAAAACTTACAGCCACCCCGTGGACCACCGAGTAACCATCTACGGACCCCCGGTTAGAACCTATGTTCTATACGTTTCTGGTTATCGTCTGATGTATTCCAAAACTTTAATGACATTTTTCGATCTTTTATGCCTCCTATCACTTAGGTACGTATAAACGCGTACCTGACATAAACCCACACACACACACACACACACACACACATATATACGCACACAGGAACATACACGCATAAACAAGCAGTGCTTGAATTGGGGGGAGAGATCGATTACCTAGATTATCAGATATTATAGCGTACCCAGGGCCGTATAAGTGCTTAGGCACTCAGGCGCGGCTCCAAGGGGGGGCACTAGGGCCATGGCCCCCCAGGCTTTTCAAAAATTAAAATTGTTCAATACATTTTTATCCTTGTGAACTGTAAAATCCCAATTATTTAATTAGATACCTGCCTAAGAAATTAAATTTTGCCTAAAAAAAGATATGTAAAGTTAGATATGTGTATCATAATACAGGAACGTAGTCGGACTCTGTGTCTTAGTACTAATTTGGGGAAACTACTATTATCAGTTAATACTCAAAATTCCTCTCCCCCTGGTAAGTCTCTGAAGCCGCGTCTATAGACAAAATAATGCCTACAAAAATATGTGAGTATGGCTTTTTTGTATTTTTTTTTTACTATCATAAATTGATATACACAATGGTCACGAATTTACACGTTTGTAAAGTTTGTACACTGGTAAAATATTATGTATAAGAATTTACGGGCAAAAATAATTGTTCTACTCGTATATTATTTTTTTTTTTATCATAATTCGTTTATCAACTATTGGGCAAAATAAATTATCTTCATTAACGGTACTTGCAATCGAACACGAATTGATCCAAGAAATCAATACCGAAAAAGTAATTGATTTCTTTGCAAATAAAAAATATCACAATAAAGTTTTGTAACTATAAAGTTATATTTATGTAATACATATAGTACACTATTGTTATTTATTTATTTTTTATCAAGATTTTTTTTTTGTTTTACACTTTAATACAAGGGTTACTGAAATATGCAAAAATTGTTTTTTATGGTTATTTGACAACTAATTTTATAACAAAATGAATTGTTTTTAAGATTTTATTAGTTAAAATTTTTATCATAAAAAGTTAAAATTTGATTCTTATATTATAAATATTTTTGTTGTTAAAAGTTTAATATTGAGATTCAACACTTTCTCTGCCAAAGAGAAGGTTTCTTAACCATTTAAATACTGGACATTGGTGGATCGTATTAGCACTAAAAGCATTTAGTCTTGGGGCTAGAGGAGTTGGGCCTACGACAGTATTATTCGGGTCTGAGCGTATCCTTACTATTTTTTTTAAAAAAAAAAGGAATGGACACATGGGACAGTACTTTATTCAAGTATAGTTTTTACAAAATTACAAAAAGTTAATAATTTTATTAAAAACAAAACATTTACACAAAATGTGTAAGTATACCTAAGTATTATTTTCTGATACATCGGTACATGATAAATTATGATAATCAAACATCAACATCAAACATTTTTGTTAGCATACACAATCACGTACCTACATGTTATTACATAAAACGCCTGTAATTTATTTAGATTTTTTTTTTTTTTGTTATTTATTAGAATTTTAAACTGAATAGCCTCTGTAGACAAAAAACTTAATACTATATTTATATATTGACGTCGTGTTTGAAACTTTGAAAATGAGTATAAACATTTATGGAACATTCGTTGGTTTGTGGTAACATGTTCAAAGGTCATGAGGCGACATAACACGGTTATGTTCAGTTTTTAATTAGATAGGGACGCACAATTTATATGTGTTATCAGAGTACCTCTACTATTATTTTTTCAAGTCAAGGACTGTAAAAAAGCACATATAACTCAATCGAGTATCATATTATTGTAATTAAAACGTGTGTAAACCTTTGCGCAATTTGCTAATACGCATACATACATAGTTGTCAGGGCCAGCTCAAAGTATAGGTGAGTTAGGGACCTGCCTAGAGCAACATTTTCAAAATTGACTCGAATTTTTTTTTAGTTCTATTGGTGTTTTATCACGTGACGAATTTTAGAAGAAGAGTCTGATTGTAAAATTGTTGTCTTGCTTCTTTTTTTTGTTTTTTAATTTTTATTTGGAATCTATTATTGATAAACTGTTAACTGATAAGTTATAATCGTTTTAATTTTATTATCAAGCTCGTGCGGGAGTCCTGCCGACAATATGGTGGAAATATTGTGATTGCGTGACTTCTTTCCGGTGTACAGCACGGACTACGGATTAAAGTTTTTAAATGTTATTTAATCCGAAATGACTGATAATTAGTGCTTGCATTTGAAAAAAAAAATTTTGTTTTAAGTTATTTACAATCAAAACGTTATACAAATTTTAAGTTTATCGTTATTCAAAATTTAAACGTTATTCAACTTTTGTGTTTATCGTTATTCAGAATTAAAACGTTATACAATTTTTGCATTTATCATTATTTAAAATTCAAAAGCATTTAGATACCTGTTTTAAAAGTATATAGGCCGCAATTTAAAAGTGATTATGACCTTTTTTTGGGGACATAATTTCCCTATTCTGAGTTTTAAGTAGGTATTGTAGAATTTTATTTATTTTATTAAATGGGTTAGATAACCCAATTACATATTATTTACAAAATATAGGGAACAGTGATACAGATTAAATTACAATACATAGATAGTTCGTAAAGAAATGGAAAGAAAATAAATGATAAAACAGTATGATAATAATTAATCTTAAGAGTAATAAATAATAATATTATTATTAAATTTAATAAATTGCCTAGGCTCTAAGGACTTGATAATAAAATAATAAATATAAAAAAAAAACCATGATTATTATTTTGAAATTTTGAATTTCAACTATGAGTTAACTAAGAAAACGTATGCACGTTAAGACTATAAGTATATTAGTATAAAATATAAATATTAAACATTTGACAACAATTAGGCAAACACTGACGAGTGACGACTGAACAAATCTGAGCAAATTGAACACCGAACACAATAATTGAATAACTTTAATGGTATAAATTTCGACCGTAGTACAGATAGTACAGTACAATATTATCAGGGTATCACTATTATTAGCTATTGGTAATTATTAATTATTAATCATTCTTATTAAACCTTCTTATTAAATTTTAAAATAATATCTAATACGGGATCTCCCGGATAGGCCGGATACTAAATAAAATTAATTCTTGGATTGAATAAATAATTGAATACTACTAAGTATTATTAAATAATTGGAAATTAATTATTTCGTTTAATGGAATACAATATATACCGCTTTGCGTTGTTTTGTTCAATGATATATCATATATTTTGTTAAACGTTACGTTTTGTTTTGTGTTATTTATTTATTTATGTTTATCGATTTCCGTAATACCTAATTACGTTTATAAATTTCAATCGTTTTTTATCAAATATAACGTTATAATCATAACGTTATTATAACGTTTACAAGCCTTGCTGATAAGTGATTATATTACATAGTTAGAACACTGTTGAGGGAAGTAATATTGATCTCCAGGAATACTGATTTCTCAGATTATGAACAAAACGAATAAACTATTTAACTACAATATTTTTCGCAATTCAAAAGTTAAAATATCAATAGATCAATACAAGTGACGATAGTCACATAATAAAAATAATAAATATTGTCCTATACGTAGTGACGGTGCTAGAGTTTGCGAGGCCCTGGGCAAAATAAATGTTGGGTCTTATAATTTATATTGATAACATATTTTAAGTTCAGTTAAATCAGAACCGCGGGGCCTTAATTATAATTTAAGGCGCGGAGCCCTGGGCAACTGCCCCTATTGCCCACCCTCTCGCGCCGTCCCAGTCTATACGTCACCGGGGTTTCCATTAGGTCTTGCCTAACAACTATAGAATTAATATAATATAATTAACTTAGCTTTGGTTAGAATCGTCTTTCAAATGCTATGAGTTCAGTTATCATTTTTAATGTTAATAATTGTTACTCGTGAAAAGCACATACCTCCACATAAACCGTAATCTACGTTTTTTTTTTTTTTTTTTTTTTATTGATAAATATTTAATTTATTCGATTCAGTAAATAAATAAAGGTCATTTTTTAAATGTTATAATATTATAGATTGTGGCTGGCGACAAAAGTAATATTGTTACATGTAGTGTGTACATTGTACTCTTCAATGTCTATTTTTATATTAATTCATTGCCAAAATACTCACAAGAACTATTTTCGTGCATACATTACAAATCCGTTGGTTGATATAAAACATTAAATTCTTATTAAATTCTTATTATTTCTAATAATAATTGATTCCTTGTTTCTAGAATACAAGTAATTTATAAGGTAATATATCACTTTATGGTATTAACTAAGAATTAATTATACTTTACACTTTTTTTTAGTGAACATTGTGCTATAAAATAATGTTGAAAAGTTTAGATACATTTATACTTACATAAATACTTTTTAAAAATCTTTTTATTTCAAAAAAATAACAATACTTCGATTAACTGAAAGGGTTAGATATCCACTTTTCAAATATTTTTAATTTCAGTTTTATAACCACAGTCATAATTATGGAATCATACGAATATATGACCTAATGTGTAGGTTTGACTATTTAATAATAACCATTTTTATAATAATCAATTATGAGTCTAACATGAATATGTATTTGTTTGTCAGTTGGGTACATAGTTACTTTTGTTTTTATCTTATTAGTTATTTGATTAGTTCCTATACCTATTTCAAAATATTAAATTAATTGTTATTTATTTTTGGTTATTAATATGACTATTTTCAAAGTTACGATAAAATGATTGAAGTTGGCGAAAATCAAAGGTGTTGGTAAAGTTTACCCTTTCTTACAAATTACCGGAAACTAAAAATAAAAATAAATGTTGAACTGTAATCGCAGAAAATTAAGCTATTTGGATCGTTCGGGCTTGAAAGTGTACAAAAGGTTAATGAGAGATTGAGAGTGTTGGAATCCCTTGTCAACTAGAAAGTTGTACACCTACCTACAAAGTACTTGGCATTTGAGTAGGTATTAGAATAATAACAGTTTTTTAAAATATAAATACATCTTCTTGAAAAAACATGCGTACTAAAATACTAATTGAAATTATATATCCAACATTAATTAAAATAACGAATAAAACAATGTACATGTTTGTATTTTATTGAAAAGTATCATCGATTTAAATAATAATAAATAAAATGGTATTGAGAAGTTCAAGTAGTCTTCGGTACGTATCACCAATGCATGAAGTATATTGGGTAGGTACATAATACATTTTACTGACGACGGCACTTAATAAAACGGTTCCACAACCAATAGTATAATTAAGAAATGCTATGCAATGAAATATTGTGACAATCAAACGTTTCGTAATATTACGAAAATGCCAAGCATATGATAATTATAATCTACCATGCAAATTTTATTTGCTACACAAACAACAGTATAATAAGATTGTTTGCATGTCTACGTGATGCTGATATCGTTAGCGGGAAGAAAATTTAAATTATTATAAATTGATGCTTTAAAAGTTAAAAATTTTCTATTAAAATTAAAATGTGTTTAATATATCTATAACTCTTAAGTATGATGGCTGATAAGCGTTCCATTTGATAACCAAAACTTATTATGTTATCAATATTATCATTTCATTCGATGTATTATCTTGATCGCAACTTTAATTTGCTGTTGCGGCATCTAACTTTTTTACTACTTTCGATGTTGCTCAGTTTAGATTTTCCTACTCTAGATTAATAATACTCGAGTGTGTGGTAATCACACCACAACATTTTGATTTCTACCCATTCATACTTAATAAATTCGACACTCAATGATTTACAATTTATGTAAATTTTCAAAATATACTTAATGCAATTCTATTACTCAAGTCATCGTTTAATGATTGTTTAATGTAAGTATTAAATATAATAATGCAAAAATCAGCAGAGTACATAATTCAGAATTTATTAGGTGATAATAAAGTGTAGGATGCACACAAAACATATAGTAATTTGCTATACAATTAAATTTGTTTTAGTTAGAAAATTAGTTATATTTTTAAGTTTAAAGTTAGCTATTAATATTTATGGAATTACAAGTACCCATCAGCATTTTTTATTTTATTTAAATATATTTTTTTCATAGTCTATTTTATATCAATAAGTGTTCAACATTGAAATTTTATTTTTGCAGAATTTTTATTTTATTATTTTTATTTTGATACATATTATTGATAATATAGTCACATTTATAATGTATTATAGGATAATTATTGACATTTTCTGTTCGTAAATATTATAATAGTATTGGATTATTTTAACATATTCATTTAAAGGATTTATATGTCTAGCTAATACCTACTCTTAATTTCTGTTATAATCTTACCTAGTTCCATCTCTCTTCTACTTAACATTGTAGGTACTTAATATTGTACTTTGAATAAAGCCTGTATTTAATTAATATAAATAAATATAAAATATAGGCATTACAATGTTCAAATTTTGAATAATGTCATTGAACTATAATATTTTTATTGAAGTATACAATTGTATATTATTTAAAAAATTTAAAATGCTTTGAACTTAATTTATTCATTGGAAAACTAAAAACCATTGTCATTTTATTTTTCTAATCATGACATGACATTTTGATTTTTTTGAGTAATCATTAAGATAAGTTTGATTAATAAAAATGAAAAACTAATACAGTAATTATATATTTATAAAATGTTGAGTAAATATGCTACTTTGGTGTTGTGTGTATGAAAAAAACTATTCCAACTACTGATTCTAATACCTCAAGATTAAATTATTATTATTTGTTTATCTTATTAATATTTATCATACTTAATAGACACACAAAAAATATTTTACAATCAAAACAATTAATATTACATGTGATTAACTAATTAATTTTAAGTAAATGTCTTGTCTAACATGACTCGGTTAATGTCAACATTATTTAATTATTAAATTTACTTTAACACATACATTGTCCCTATTATCACAGTTTTACTAACTGTTGTACCTATTATTGGTTTTAAATTTGAATTGATGAAATTTTGAGTCATTGCATTTCTTCATCAAACATAATCGAATCGAGAAAAAATATTGAAATCTAAATAACATTATTTTAGCATTATTATTACATTGTTAATTATTAAATTTAATACTATAGCATTAGTCTCATAAAATATATGATGTTAAATACATTATGACTTTAAAAATGTTAATTTGTATAATCTACATTCAATTCATGTTATATTACATTTTTTATAACTATATCACTTTAACATAAATTATTTGAGTATAATAATTTATAACCAATATAATTTTGAATATTATAATAATTATAATATAATTGTTTTAAATAATTTTAGAAAAATTTTCAAAGTATTTAAATAAAGTTTAATTTTGATATATATATAATGAAATTTATAAATAATTCATTCAAAAATGAATAAAATAAGGATTTTCCTGTTATAAAATGGAATATAGATGAATAAACAATCACCACAAAATAGAAAAGAAAAACATTCTGTTTTTAAGTATAAGCCATGTATATTTTAATTATTAAGTTAATGTTTAACAGCTAATTTATTTTTCAATTCAATTTTATATTTAAGATGTTAATTTATATGCAATAATTCATTATGATAGTGGGAATTGAGATATTCAATATACATAGTTGATTTGTATATGTGGATTTTAATTGTTTTATTTAAGTATTTAATATTGTTAACATTTTTTACAGGTTTAAAGAAAATAAGTATTTGGAACTAGTATGTTAATATTAATTAGTGCAGTTTGTGACAGACTCACTATCATTTTAATTTAGTATAAAATTAATTCAATAAATAATTATCCTACCAAGTTATGTGAGTACTTTTACTAATTATTTTATATTTTTTGATTATTTAAGCAACTGCATTTTTTAGGTGATATCAATACTAGTATTGTAGGTAATGAAGATGCAAGTGTATGAAGAGTTGTACAAGCGTTTTTCAAATTTAAAGGATTTTTGCGTATGGAATGATATTTAATAAGTTAGAATATAGTTATAGAGTTATTAGATTAAAATAATTTTATTAATAATTAAAATATGAAAAAATGTAAACCTAATTAGACTTATTAGGTGTGATTAAGTGTGATTGTTGAACTTAGAAATTAGAGCCATTGTTAATGTTAAACAAGTTAAATGTAGATTATATACAATTAAATAATTATTTTAACTTGGTAAGTTTATTTAGTATATTTTTTTAATTTCAATTGAAAAAAAAGAAGTGACTAGTTTAATAAAACTTACCTAAGCTTTAGTGCATTAATTAATATATGCTATACAATAATTTGAAATATTTTATAATTATTAAGTAAAAATCATACATATATTATGTTTTATTATTTTAAATGTTAACACAGTATACTGGTGTATGCTTAACGGTCTATGATCAATAAAGGAAATTAAAGCTTGTTAAAAATTGTGTATAGCTTAAATTGCCTTATTAAGTTCCCCTTTGATATGTGTTACTAGGTTTAAACTGTGTTATATTAAGCAACTCCCCTTTTCTCCTTGTTCTTTTATATCAATATAAAACAAAATAATGAAAACATTTAATATATATTTATTAGTTGTTTAAATTTGATTCTTAGTAATTAATTTAAAATGATGCTCCATTAAAGTTTTAAAGACAAAGTTAGTTAATTTGAGAACATATTTAATTATCTAGTTTATTAGTAAATAGTCGCTTATTAAAAATTTAAAAAAAATTGTGTGAATGTATTATTTAAACCAGTAAACTAGGCTTTTGCGTTTATTTATCAGTTAAACATTTTTTAAATTAAATATACATTATCTTTGTTATGTACAGTAGACTAATTGGGGCTCTAGTTTGTCCGAATTAATGAAAGTTCAGATTAAACAAAATAACCAAAAATCGTAAATTATAAATTTAAAAAAATGTATTGAATATTTTATTATACAAGCTTTAATCTAATACATATGTATGTTTAACAATATTAAACCTAAAAAATATTACTTAATTGTTTCATAATCATTACATACATAATACAGTATATGTTAAGGCTCACCTTCATTATTCACACTTGACATGTTTACTGGTTTAAATAAACTGCCAATCTTTGGTTGTCTTCCTTTCACAGTGATTTCTTTAATAATTAACTAGTTATTATAACTATAATAGTTTAACTCAAGAACTTAGATACTAATAATACGTAGATATTTTTTTATTGTTGTTATCTTCTATGTATTTAATGACAATGTTTAGATACTTTATATAAACTAGTATAATTTATAATAATTATAATTATTATTAATTAAATATTATTATTATTATTAAATAATAATTTATCATTTACATATTATAAATGGCTGTCCGGATTAATGATGTTCTACTATACTTATAGAATCTGATCATAATTCCATTTAATGAGCATTATAATTTGTTTACTAAAGTCCGAAGTTCATGCACCAATTTATAGCTTTTTTTATTATTATGCAATTTTAATATTATTAGAATAAATAAATAGCTTTAGTTTTTAAAATGTTAAACTGATATTTATTGTTAAATTTCAAATTATAAAAAAAAAAAATAATTAAATTAATACATTTTGAATATTTATAAAAAATAGGTATAAGGCTTAACAATTTATTTAACTTGACTGTTATTTAAGTAGCAAGTAATTATAAAAGAAATTCAGTATATTTAACGTTACATTTAAAAAAATACAAAATATTTACTTTATATAATGATTCTCCATCCTTTTATAGATTCATATTCTGAATTCAGTCTATAAAATATAATATTCTTAAATGATCCTGCATATTAAACTCATTTATACTTTTTCTTTATAAATATTTTATGAATTTATTGTTATTTTTATTCTATTGTTAACTTATATAATACACTGATAATTTTATTATTTTGAATTTTTATTTATTGTATATATTATATTGTACAGTATAGTATTTATCAGAAAATGTATAATTAATTTTGTTAATATAATAGTTCAATTTAAGATCCAAAACTTAAGTACCTTTAAATATGAGTTTATATTAATCAAATTCTAGTTGTTAATTACTGTTTCCAATACATTTAAGGTTCTGATTTTAGAACCAATTAATTCATCAATCTTGGTACTGAAACCTAAAATCTCAGTAAAAAATAAATAACATAATTTTACTTCTAAAATATGATATAACCATTATTTTGTTTTCAAATTTTTAATTCATTAATTAAATACTTAAATAATATAAATAATATAAAGATTAAATAACCTAATTTTTTATATAAAATAATATATTGATTGGTCAAACATTATTTGTAAAATGTTTATAATATTATATTTTTAATATTTCCTATTAAATTACAATGGTTTTGCAGTGTTTTTAATTTTGTACTCCAATGTTTTAAATATGAACATTATAAGAATTATGAATTATTTACAAAAGTAATTTTAATTTGTAACTTTTGCAGTATGATTCTTAGGCGATAGAAACACTGCATATTACATTTTTAATGTATGAAACATTCTGTTATACATTCTTGTGACAAAATATGATTTTAAATATTACTTAAGCATAGTGATTAAAAATCCATTTTTGCATTAAACAGTATTATTTAAACAAATTAGGTATTATGATTTTACCTAACCAATATAAAAATATATCTATAGAGTATTTCAAATTGTATGCATAAGTATTTAAATAGAAAAAATGAGCTGTTGTGACATTAAATTATTTAAAGCATAGAAATTTTATTCAGAATTTAAAAATGTTAAATTTGAATAGTGGTTGGAAATTCTTATGGGAATTCGTTTTTTTTTTTTAGCCATTATATTATTATAGAAGTAATTATCTGAAATATTTTTTATTATAAAGTAATATAAAATATAAAATAATATAGTTTATATTATTATGCTAAAAATGAATAAATTATTAGAGTCATTATTTTCTTATTATTAGTTAATGACTGTTGGATAATTACAGTTTCAATAACAAAATAAAAATTATTCCCTACAACTATATTTCAACGGCCAGTTAAGTTGCCTACTGTAAGGCGCTTGCTTATGATATTTATTCATAACCTAAATGTAAAGTTTGTAATTTTGTATAATCTACTTATGTAGTTTTAAACTATGAAAATTTAATCCTAAGTCAAGAATTTTGTTGATGTAAATCAATGTAAATGTGTAACAAGCATTTTTTTTTTTACATTTTTGAAAATTACATAATTTTTAGAGCATTTAAATAATAATATTGTTCGAAGATTCGCATAGCAAATATTATTTTAATAATTATTATGAACGAAGATTTCTAAAAATTAAAAGTAAATATGACAAAACCATAAATAACTTAAAACTATTATGAATGAGTCTTTATTATTGAGTTGTATTAGCGAATATTAATACTACGTTTTACATTTTCATATACTATAATGTGCATAATTGATCCAGTAATGTATTCTGTTACGAGAGTATACATCGTTGTATAATAATTATAAAAAAATCACTTATTACAATGTAATTCTGTACAAAACATTGACAATGTTGAGTATATTGTATAAATGTGTTTAGAGCCGTGTCTAGTATTTCGACTTCTCCAGGCATTATCTGGTCTTTGGGACATAAGTGCAATAACACAAATCACCCCTAAATATTGGAAAAAAAATATTAAATTGCTCAATTTTATTTCTCCACCTGCCCATTTTATCTTACAATGCCTGTGAACGTGTTACAATATATGTATAAAGTACAATAATCATGAACAACATTTAAATAGTTTAACATTTAAAGTTTTTTTTATATATGCTGTAAAATAAAATATTATGTAGGCTTCAAAATTCATGTCCACAATCAATGAGGTACAGTTACATAAATAATAAAAATTCTTGTTAAATAGTTACAAATCTCAAATTATAGATACCTACGACGAGTTCACCACAAATTATACTTAAATAATACACTCACCCCTGTACGTCCTTCTTATTAGCCGTAGTTCTACGTTGATTCGGTCTCATTTTATATTTTTGTAATTTCAATGTATTAGGTGCGTGTGCACCGGAAGCCATGCCTCCTGGAACGCCAAAAGCTTTTTAAGTAATATTATTGAAAGTTAACCATATTATTTAATTTGTAATATTTAACACATTCAACGCCATGGTCTCACTGCGTAGTCGATATAATTAATATCGTCCTGATCGGCGTTGTTGCTAGTTTAGTTTAAGTATTGGTATTTATTTTTTAATCGAAATGACGTCACAAATTATCAATAATATACCATTTATATTTTATTATTATTGTTATTTGATATAATTAATTTAATAACATTTTATTTTGAACCTATCTAATAGATGGATTTAAGTGCATATTTTCGAAAATTGAGTTTTAGAATGACAATATTTAGAAAATCTATATTTTAGAATATGAAACTTTTAGAAAATTTGTGTTTTAGAAAAATGTTAAATGGTGGTTTTAGAATATAAAATATTTTCAATCGTTTATTATCAACTCATCCTGGTATACATTAATTTATCTCCGAAATTCAAAAAAAACAACACAAGACTGAAACAACAATCGAATCGTTGATTTCAAATAAAGTAGGTATTCAAGAAAAGAAAATAAAATGAAACACGGAATATTAACTTATTGCAAATATGTAAACGAATAGTTGATGATTATAATTTAGATGAATTTATGAGAGCTATTGCTAATAATCTTAAGTATTAACAATTATTATATTTATTTTTTATTATAAAAGAACTATTAGAAAACATTATATATACGAGGAAACAGCATAAAAAATAAAAATATTTTTAAAAATTTAAATTCTAAAAGTTTTATTTTCTAAAACACATTGTTTCTACAACTTGATATTCTAAAACCCAGCATTCTAAAATATGACTTTTTAAAACCTGCCTCAATACCAATAGATGACATATATTATAGTGTTCACATCATAGTTTATAAACGCAGAAGTTGCATAGGTACCTAATTATTTTTCACCGGCAAGCATTTAAAGATAAGTTTTTTTTTATGCAATCGAATAAATTCGATTTGTAAATTAATTAAACCAGTTAAGTATGATAATTAATTATCTACATGCTTTGTTATACTTATACAATTAGAGTTATATGTATTACTTATATTATTCTTTAGTTGTTGATTATTTATTTTATTTATTTAATTAATTAAATTATTATTATTAATTATTAATAATAAATTAATAAACACAAAATAAGTTGTTATATAGAACTTTATATTCTTATATAGTGTCCTTATAGCCTAAAGATATAAAAATATTTTGTATAGGGGCGGGAATGTTAAAAGTGATTCTTGGTACCGGACGCTAATTAAAATATAGGTATATAATTTACGTAAATTTTAAAATAAAATCGCTAGTATTTACAAATTTATATTTAAAAATATTTTTTATAGGACGTCATATGCCTAACGATACATTTTCTTACAATTAATACATAATATATAATAATATATATAATAATAATAACAATAATATAATATATAATATATCAAATTAATAATTATTAACAATTGAGTTAATGGAATTACAATAAAATAATGAAAATGAA